TCTTCAGTTTCAAACATTTTTTTACCAAGTTTTAAAATTTATGCTTCATACATTTTTATACTATCTTTATCCGTCCAATGTAATACACCAGTACCAAACGAAACTACTTATTTAATACAGAGTAGAATCATTTTAAAAGTGTATTCCAAAAGGTGTTTGCCGAACAATTTTCCATACCTTAGCAAAGTTAGCTACATCCAGAATCCACTAGTTGCACACAACTAGCAGAAAAACAGAACAGAACAGAGAACAGAGTGAATCAAAGCAAAGTGGAAAATTCGAGAACAGCTGGTCATGGCATAGGTATTTTAAGCCAGATTTCTGCAAAGGTTTGTAGAAATCTAGCTCAAAAGTGTTGTGTTGCTACCGATATGAATGATTCTTCAAGTTACGGCAACGTTGTGTCCACAATGATTGAAAAGTTTAACACCATTTACTCCAAAAATACTCCAGCGAATGGGTACCCTCCTATGTATTCAGACGAACACTATACAAACGACAGCCGTCCAAGGTAAATAAAAGTCCTCTTTTCGGTTCGAGTCACTTTTGTTATCCTTTGGAATAGTTTTTTTTAGTTTGTAGCCGGTGATGGTAACTTCACGGCTTTTCGTTTTCCAGGTTTGGTTATGTCAACAGTCAACATTTCACTTTCTTGCTATTTCTTTTTCTCTTCTTTTACAAAATTATAACATTCTACTTCACTATAGTGCAATTCTTAAACGCTTACTGCTGTCAATCATGGTGTGGACTTCAAAATTACTCCTTGCATTTTCAATACCTATGTTTAGTTTGAAACTGAAAAATACGCGTGTCCATAGCTATATTCTGTTTATATATTATTATTTAACTTATTGTAACATATACTTTGCGATACGTAAACAGGCCTGAACAAGGGTCTTACGCCTCTCTGTCAATGTGTCCTCTGGTACCAGGAGAGCTGGTACAGTAGTTTTATATGCTGGGGCATGACTAAGAAACGTTTGTTTTATTTCCATTAATTTATATGTTTCTTCCTCACAGTTTTTGGGTTTGAGGGATGGTTTTCCAGTATTAGATCAAAGGCGGGTCTTCAGTCTTCTAATCTGTAACCTATTATTGTAGTGGGTTTGACAAATGAGTTGTAAAGATTTTATTTACTGGCCTTATCCGCAAACAATAGAGTCTGTAATATCTTATTGTCTATTGTTGCAGGGAAAATGGAATGGAAGACTGCGCACCTCCCAGGTAACTATTTATACTTTCGGTTTATGTCAGAAATAAATCAATAAGAGAAATGAATAATAGAACAATCTACTTCTACAGCGTAAATCGGGCAACTAAAACGTTCAAGCCAAAGAAAAGTTTACCAGATGAAAGTTATCAATGTGACTTGATGAAGTATTCCTCTGATACTCTTGGCTCTGGAGATCTCAGGCTTGCAGTCCAGCTGCCTGAAGGAGGAGATATCAATGAATGGGTGGCATCAAATAGTGAGAATAAATGACTAATCAATGAAAAGAAATGGATAAACAGTTTCTAAGAAAGAACTGGTTGTAATAATATTTTTCTCTCCTTTGTTTTTCTCAGCTGTTGACTTTGCCAACCAAATAAACATGCTGTATGGAACCTTAACAGAATTTTGCACCGAGGAGTGTTGCCCTATTATGTCTGCTGGTCCAAAGTACGAGTACCACTGGGCTGATGGACACACAGTTAAAAAGCCTATAAAGTGCTCAGCCCCAAAATATATAGACTATTTGATGACTTGGGTGCAAGACCAACTTGATGATGCTACTTTGTTTCCATCCAAAAGAGGTGGGTGTGCAAATGCAAATGTTAAAACAACTTTTGGCAATATTCTTATTTTTTCTTCTGTCTCAGGCATTCCCTTTCCGAAGAATTTTATTTCTATAGCCAAAACCATTCTGCGCCGTTTGTTCAGGGTTTATGCCCATGTGTACCATGAACATTTTCTGGATGTCCTACATCTGGGAGAAGTTGCTCATCTGAACACATCATTCAAGCACTTCATCATCTTTGTTAATGTAAGTATACTTATATTTTTCTTATTATTATCAAAGCTAGGCATATTTTGAACAGCCAGAAGTGATAACATTTACATTACTTAAATCTTACCTTGAACTGAACTTCTTAATTTGCAGGAGTTCAGCCTCATTGACAAAAGAGAATTGGCTCCTCTGCAAGAGCTCTGCGATAAATACACCAATAAGGATGACTGAAGATAGATCTGTTGCTACACAACCAACAATTCATGCCATCTTCAGTTTCAAACATTTTTTTACCAAGTTTTAAAATTTATGCTTCATACATTTTTATACTATCTTTATCCGTCCAATGTAATACACCAGTACCCTTGTTTACTATAGCTGTACTGTGAGTCTTCTTGAAGCAATGTTGATATTGCACTTGATTGATTGATTCGGAAGTTTCCTGCAGTAGACTACTTTTTTATTTGAGTTAAGTAATGTGTTGCATATTTAATTTTTCGTTAAGGCCTTACTGCAAGTATGGCAGACTGATACTTGATATTTCATTGTCAATGAACTTATTGATTGTTAATTATTAGTTGTAATGAATACTTAAATGTATGTGGAACTGTTTATAAATACTTTATTATGTAATTTATTGTTTGCAATATGAAAACATTGGAATACAATTTTTAAAAGCATGCTTGGATTACGATTGTAGTTTTCAGCTAGTGTTCAATTTCAAAATCTACAGTTTGTACTAAACAAATGAATTGTTTGTCCCTGCATTTATTTCAGTACTTATGATAACTGGGAGTTTTCTTATATTTTCATACTTTTCTAATCATTCATACCAGTTTGTGGGATTTTCATTCTTATATTTGATTGTATACTAGCTTCGTGTGTCTTTCCGTGTCATTTTAGCATGTAAATTAATTGTTTAACATAAGAGGGTTTGTTGCCACTCTGTATCAAATGTTACCATCTCTTTTATGTGCTTTATATTTCCTATGTATACAAGTTGCCAGTTGCCTGTAATCCTTTTCATTGCTTGTTTGAAATACAGTTGTGTTTTTAACAATGAAAAGATTTTCTTTTGAAAACTGCCATAACATGTTTAGTAAGACAGCTTAATATGTCTTGTATGAGTCCTGGAATACTTTTCTTTTAATGCGTTTGATTGGGTCATTCAACAAGGCAGAGACAAATTTAAAACATACTATTTGTTTATTTGACTGAAATGATAACAACAGTTATTTGGCATTCTGCATACTGCCCAAATAAGTAACAGTACCATCATTTTCTTCTGAAGGTACGTTAAGCTCTGAACTTCCAATACATAGGATAGGAAGCGCTTTGGAACTCAAACCTCTATGACTAGCATCACACAAAAGCCACAATTTTGCTCATCAAAGGAATGTACTGACAGACATATACAGTAGAACTATTTGTTTGGTACTTCATCATATTTGTTACAATAATGTGGTTCTGAATGCTAACTAAAACCATTCTGATGAGATTTGAAATAAGACAACTATAATTCAGAAGTTTCTATCTTGCATCTCAATTAAAAGATGGTCAATTTCTGATACCCATCTGTACCAATTAAATTAACTACATGACATGTAAGTACATTCTTTTTTGGACATAAAATTACAACCTAACTTTGATAACATTCAATTTTAACAAATTGAAAGTTCAAAAAAACCCTGGAGGAAGGAAGCATTTGTCATATTCAAGTTTGCTCATTGACTATCAAAAAGAACATACTTCAAAAGACAGAGCGGAAAATCAGAAAATTTAGCATTGTATCTCTGATGTTATCTTTGAATTTCTTATGACTAACACAGTTTTATTTACACTCTCCCAAAAAATGTACATAAACCAGTAGATATTAAACCAATTATCACAGCAAAATTTGTTCTATACATCTTCCACAGTAACAAAGAAATTAAAAGTAAAGTCCAAATGGTCCTTTCCTTTGGAATACCTTACAAAATTTTGAAATTTGTGGTCTTCCCTTTAAAATTATTCATCATGTTTTCTGTGGGTTTGCTCTACAGCAGAACAATAACAATATGTAACTTTTTCAAGTTTGGATGAGAAATAAAAATAATAGTGTGGCAAGCATCATTGACTGCTTTCATAAAGCAAAAACTTTGCACAATTTGTGACATTTTTCACTCAAAATCTTAGCAGGACTAGTAAGAAGATGCTTAATATTCTTGATATGACAGAAAAACAGTGAGACACTTTTAACATTTTTTGTAAATAGTCTCATTAGTAGACCATATCATTATTTCTTTAAAATAAAGAGATGCTCCAAAAGACTAGTACTCTACATAGGCAATGATACCCAAGCATCTTTGCGACTAAACATCAGACTTTGGCACTTTTCACACAAATTTGTATATTGAATGTTTTGTGTGCACTGTATAGAGATTACTTCCTCTATTTTCCTGACAAACTATGACTATTTGAATAAAATCCTATACATTAAGGTCTGCCATAATTTTTCTGAAGTCAGCCAGAGTGTTGTAGTCAGGATCTGTATCAACATCAGCAAAATCACGACTAGAATCTGTCCTGCTAGTATTGACATGTTTCCGACTTAGAGCCAGAGGAACAGGAAGTAGCTCAGGCATCACAGAGTGGTGAGTAATCAGCGCCAATAGTGTAGAGAATTCTTTTGTAAAGCCCTGCAAAGAATGAAAAGAGATTTAATTTACAGTTTGCACGAATAGTTAGTTAGAATCAGAAGAATACAAGCAGATAATAAAAAATAACAATTTGTCAAACACACACCTTTATCTTGTAGCCTTTATTTGTTCTCAGAATAAGGTAATGGGCAATTCCAGATGGTTGGAAATCTCTAGGGACTCGTAATGAAAGAGCAAAGCAGCCCAGCTTTGTGGTGCTTTCACGAACCATAAAAGAGCCCACTTGTTCTCTTCCAAGTACTTCTAGGGCAATTTCCCTGTTTAGACAAAAAAATTGAATTGATTAGAACCTGAACTCAAAAGACACTCCAGCAATGCCAATGATGCACTTGAATTGTCAGCACATGCTTTTCATTCATTAGGTCCAAAGACCAAAGATGCACTGCTTACCGGGGGATTCCAGCCTGGAACCAGGGCGCCGTTCTCAGATCGCCGTCCTCCGGCCTCATGACCAGACTGTCCGTCCTCTCGGGTAGAGGGGGAGGTGTAGGGGCTGCTCCGGGGCGCGCGCCCAGGTGCGTGGAGGAGGAGGTGGTGGTGGTGGTGTTTGTGGTAGTGGCGACGGGCGCGCTGGGGCCGTGAGAAGACACCCCCGACGAGCACGAACTGATTTGTGAGATCCGCTTCCCCTTGAGGTCACTCAGGTCAATGGAGCCGGCATGAGAGCACTGGGACAACCTGGAGGGCGAAGAAGAGGCAAGCGTTAGCACGACTCACGGAAAAAACGGCAGAGACCGGCGAAGTGGCGCAGGTGAGGCGTGGAGGACGTACCTTGAGTTGACGTCGGCGCGCTTGCTCACGTTGTCGGGCAGCGTCGCCCGGCCCTGCAGGGCGTGCAGCCCCGCGAGGTGCCCATGCAGGCCCCCCAGAGGTCCGCCCAGGCTCAGGGTCCCGCCCGGCGGCGCGCCCACGGGCGAGTCCTCCACGAGGTTGTTGTTGGTGGGGCTCTCCACCACGGACACGAGCGGTGCCACGTCCGCGTCCTCCTCGACGCTCTCTCGGCCCGTCAGACCCATGGCCAGGCGCTGCAACAGATGAAACAAATTTTCAGTAAAAACAACACACACAAATAAAAATGAAATCACAAACATGCAAGGAAAACGTAAGATAATTTTCAAAAATGTCTACAAAGTTATTTAATGACTACAGAGTTTCTTTCAAATTTTCCACTTTTCGTAGCAATAAAACTTTTAATTCTCTGAAAAAATGGGAATCCTTCATTCTACTCTCTAAAGCAAACGCCCAGCAGGTCGGCCCCCCGCACGTCACGTCCCGTCGCACGCACGTGTCGAATGGGTTGCCTACCCGGCGCTCGGCGGGCGGTTGGTGGCGGGGCTCACCTTGATGAGGGGTGGCTTGTCGCCCAGCCTCCGGTACGAGTTGAGCTCGGTGGGCGAGTTGCTGTCGTCGCTCTCCGGGCTGCAGGGGTTCAGGATGGTGCTGGCGGCGGGCGCCGCGGCGGGGGCGGCGCGGCTGCGCAGCGGCAGCCCCCTCGACACTCGGCTCATGGCGGCGGGCGCGGGGGCGGCCGGGGGCAGCGGCGGCGCCGGGGGTGGGGCCGACCGCGAGCCGATCAGCTGATGCGCCTGCAACAACACGAAACCAGGTCGCCGGTGAGACAGGAGAGTAGGGCAGAGGCAAGTATAGAACATCGGCTCGATATGCAGAGTGTCTCGATAACATCGAGAAATATCGCACCATCGAAACATGATTGAAGTACTCCCTCAATATTGACAATCTTTCGCAAAAAGAATATCGAGATCTCGACAGCGGTATCGAGGTATCGAACAGCCCTAGGGAGAGCCCAGTCGAGTGGGATGGATGGAATCGCGAGGCGCGCTGCAGTCACGTATAAAGAGGGGGACCGGGGGGCCGGGAGAAAGGGAAAGAGAAGGGACCAATCGTCCTAATAATAAGGAACTCGACCGCAAGAGCCACGGGGAAATACATGGGGGAATGATGGTGGTCGGGGAAGAGGAGGGCGGGGGGTGGGTGGGGGGAGCTGATTCACAGTCTGGCCGCCGGCATGCAGTGCAGCGGCGTGTAAGACAGGTGGCCGATGAAGTGAGCAGCAGCTCATCGTCTTCAATGGGAGAGAGAGAGGAGGGGGAGGGGGAAGGCAACCGAGTGTGTAGTATGTAGGAGGAGCGAGCAGGAGCTAAAAGTCATTTCCGGCCGAGTGCTGATTGAGCCTCCCCACCCCCGCCCAGCGCCGCCCAGCGCCGCCCTACCCCAACGCACTCCACCGCGCGTGTGGCCCGCCGGCGCGGCGCTCATAGGGGGGCATCCTACACCCTACCCTCTGCGAACGTTATGGAGCGGTGCCTGCCTGCACAGTTTCAGCAAAGCGCGCTGCGCATAAAAACCGCGTTCACATCATTCCGGCTCTTTTCTTTCTCTTATTTCAAAATCCGCATCATCCGACCGGGCAGCAGCAGCAGCAGCAGTGCTGCGCCAGCGATGCGCCCCCGCCGTTGCTGCCCCCGCCCGCCCGAACAGCAGTTATTTGAAACGCCGCCCACGTCCCGGGTCCGGCCCGGACCAGTCTGCACTTTACAGCACTGGGGGGGTCTAATGCAATTTCGCTCGGCACTCCCCAATGTAATTCTCTCACAATCCATCGGCGACCTCCCGCGCACATTTCCGGAGGACCCAAGCCATAAGTACAAACTAATTTCCACTGGGTAGTTATTGTAAAGTAATCATTATACAATGTTTATTTAAGTTTGAGAATGCAATTCTATCCTGAACGTAATTTTCGATTTCTAGGACTAATTATTAGAAGAGAGAGAGAGTAAGTAATCAGATGCTTACCCAAGCATGACGATCATTGTCGTTGTGGTTGTTGTTATTGTTGTTATTATTGTTGTTGACGAAGATGTTGTTGTTGTTGATGTTGTGGGCGGGCTTGCCCAGGCCGTGGCTCAGCGTCGTGGCGTCCTGCCGCTGCAGCTGGGCGGCGTACGCCATACGGAACGCATTGCCCACGATCGAGTTAAGCTCTTCGGCCTGAAACACACCAAAAAATGCACGTCGATTAGTACAAGCAATTCCCGTACAGTTCGTTTTCCATTCGAGTTGGTCGTGGACGTCAAAGGGGAGTCAGGCTAAAGTTAGCGAATGCAGAAGGAGAGTGCTTGATCTTTTTCCAGTCCTGACATATCAGGCATATCATGAAGTGCGTCGTGCAAAAAAAGAAAGGTCCACAAAAGTTACAGTAGAAAAAAGTCCAAAGAATAAAATAAAAAGGAATTCCCTTGTACACCTTGAACTACGACATCATTTTGAGCGCCTCCCTCGAAAGGGGCTTTATTGGTCCTGAAGGTCCGGCAGCAGCACAGCAGGCAGGCCAGGTCCATATAGGCAGTTCTCCCCCCTCCGTCCCTCCCCCAAACCCCTCGAGACGTCTGGTCCCATTAAAACAGGATTTGCAGAGCGGGCATGGGGACGCCACGCCAGGCAGGCCGGACCGCCAGGTGTATCGGCGCGCTGGGCAGGGCCGAGCAGGGCACGCTGCTGCCGCTCTGCCGTCGCGCTTTATACCGATTGCAACGCCACCGCAGCCGCAGCAGCCACTCCCCGTGGGGCTCATCTTCGAGAGAGCGCCGATCAAAGCGGCCCCACCACCCGGCCGCCGCCGTACAACACGACCGCCGCCGCTACAACCGGGACGCAATTCCGGTAGCCGGGTACCCCTGTGCTCGCCCCGGGCGGAGCGGAGCAGCGGAGCCGTGGCGCGGCGTGGCGGCGGCAAGCCACAGCCCCCTACCCCCCTCCCAACGATGAGTAGCGGCCTCGCTACCAGGCTACGCCCCCCACCACACCGCCTCGCAGCGGCCGCCATACAGGAATGGGGCAATAATTATTGTAACGAGGGACGTCAGTCGAAAGGCATCCAACTCTTCTCGCCACCTCTACCCCGCTCTTTCGCTCTCGCTCCCTCTCTGTATCTCTCTGTCTCTCACAACTCTCTCTCGCTCTCACACAAGGCAGTAGTGCATTGGCAGGCGGTAGGCTATAACTTGTGTGCGCGTCCGCACCACGGTGTATACGAGAGAGAGAGGGAGAGACTGAGATGGAGATAGACCCTGGATCGCTCGCTGGATGCGATGAAGGGCGGAAGAGAGGGAAGAGAGAAAGAAAGCGAGTTTCCACCGGGACGAGCCCCTTTTATTCGAAACGGCTTTCCTCTCCAGCCGATAGAGAACACACTTGTCGTCGCTTCCTTTCAGTCACCCTTCTCCCCTTGTGCCGCCTGATAGCGTCAGTTAATTAGGATGCCTTGCGGCAGGGAGAGAGAGAGAGATCTCCTTGCTTCGAAGACTTTCGAATCCATCGTTTGTTAGTTAGTTCGTAACTATAGCGCAAGGGTTAAAAAAATGTGCGATGACAAAACTGCTTGAGTGAAAAAGTCGACTGCAGGGTCCCCGGAAGCAGCGGGTAGAGGAGGAGGGCCTATATCGAGCGATCGAGTCGGACCGACGACTTCACCGCCTTGCGTGTTCCGGATGGAGATTTATTGCGGATCGTTAAGCGGAGGGTGCTGCGCCTTTTCGCCATCAGCAGCGGGACGCAGCGAAATGTCCCCGGCGAGCCAAGCGGCCCCCACCACCCCGTTGCGGACAAGTGTTGTTAACATTCGAATTACGGCCAAAATCGCTTTTATTATGGCGATACTTCACCGTTACCGCAGCGCCGGCGGCGGGGGGGTGGAGGGGCGTTGCAGCTCAGGCCTATCGGAGCGCCCTGAAGCAGAGTGACCGCGGGACGCCCAGAGCAAAACACTTGCGCCGCGCTATATCGCCAAAAAAAGGGTTAAGTTCTTCCATTATTGCAAACAGTTTGCCAGAGAGCGAAGAAAGTAGGAGGAGCTGCTTCTTCCTCCTATGCGCGGCGGAGAGCAGGCGGAGGCGGGCATGTGTGTGGCGCGGGCGGGGCGAGGCGCCCGGGGGCGTGTAAGTGATATCGTGGAAAGCTTTTAGCGAGCGCATCGGCGCATGGCGACGGCCAGGCCATGTGCGGGAGTCTATAGTAGAAGCTGGTGCGGGGGCGGCTGAGGCAGGAGGAGGCCGGAGGAATGCAGCAATGCGAGTTTGACTAATTTGAAAAATTTAACATTGGCAACGCCGCTCGGGAAAATCATTTATGCTATGCAAACTTTTTTGCCCCCCCCCCCCTGTACAACATGCGGGCATGCGGGCTGCCGCGGAGGAGGACGCTTTCCGATGGTTTTGCGTTTGCATAATACACACTACTACTACTAACTACTAACACGCGCGCTCGCTTTCTCTCCCCCTTACTGCACCCCCCCCCCCCCCCCCCCCCCCCTCTCTCTCTCTCTCTCTCTCTCTCTCATACACACACACACACACACACAAAACGCACACGGCTGGTCCACCAGGTGCGCGCGAGCCTTCTAAAATAATTAAACACGAGGAATTATAGAAGTCCTC